TACAAAAACTATACATTATTTTACATACATTGATAAACTTGTTCTTAATAGTATTTGACTGCTATATATTTCCACACGAGCTACTTCGTTGGGCTATCATTTATGGCCGGGTTGCTTCTGAAAATAATCTAAATAGTTCAGTGGGTCTTACCTGCTAATTATATTTAAAAAAACAGGTTAAATAGTTTAGTTTTATATACTTTGGAATATAATTGGTAATACACACGATGCGCGAGAACACGTTATGGTGTCTATATTGTATAAAATAGTTGAGGTGTATTAAATGTACTTATGGCATTATGTTAGTGGTGGGAGATTGCCATGCAAATGACTTACAGCAAATATAACCCATGTTCTTTTTACTTTTTGGTTTGTACACTAACACACGTGGACTACACACACAAATGTATGTACCTTACTTACAAATGTATGTACCGTACGACAAATAAGCTTATACTGCATCGTACATATGTACAGCTTACATGTAAGGTACATACGCACGTATTTGTTTTCACCTAAGATTTTGATTGACTAGGGCTCCCCCCCCCCAATAAGTTAAACGAGCTGGACTTTTCCTGTATCGCGGCAACCCTAGTATTCATAATACAGGTTTTAGGGTTTGATCACGTAAATGTTTCATGAATCCCGCCACCACCCGACACAGCCAATTAGTAAGGTTTGTCACGTAAACAGAACAAGCCAATGTGTTACTAGTACAGCACACCGGTGTGTTGGAGAGAAAAGCCACACCATTTACCATCTGCATCATCAGGCAGACCGCCATCTAGCATAATCAGGTGGACAGCCAGATTCTGGCTCTTCGCCTGATGCTAGTTGTAATTACTGGCAAAACGTCATACTCAGATTGTAAATGTTGTGTATTTTCTCACCAACAAACAGTGTGCTGTACTAGTAACAAATTGGCACGTTCTGTTTACGTGACAAACCTTACTAATTGGCTGTGTCGGGTGGTGGCGGGTTTAATGACACATTATATTTACGCAATCTAACCCAAATAAAAACCTACATTATGGATATTGGTCGTGAGAGCCTTCTATGTGTTAAACTGACGATCCCTAGTATTCCCATACGCTTCATCTGCCTCATTTGCATTTGCTTCAATTGTGCTATCCCGTTTGTAGTTTATTTGTATATCCCTTGTAACTTTTGTATGTGCTCGTACGTACTGTCCTTCTGCATTGTTCTGTACATCTTGTTTATTCTGTTCCTTTTGTTATATACCATCTCATTCGAAATGTCCATCTCATATATATTGTCTTACCATTTGTGTAATCTAAGATTGTCTTGTGTTTTTTTCATCAGCAACAATGTACACTAGTCTATAATTTGCATGCGACTTTCATATATAAGGGAATTCATTTTTATATTAATAGTTTATTGTCCTTACCCCACACCTCCATTGAGCACGGTTGGCTACGTAGAGTGCGAGAGAAGTTCAACATACATACAATGCATGTATCATAATTAAAGTAAACTATTTGTATTGGTCCATCGTTACACACCTATGGGTCAGTGTGCCCACAGTTCAGGGCACAGTTCCCACACATGCCTGTTGACTGTGATTGTCTAACTTCAGTAAAGTGGATCATTATGTGTTGGTGGCAGAGCCCAAAGCTGAACAGAATCTTATTGTAGGGGAAAATAATTGTGGGTCCTTTAAGTTCTCCTGGCTGTTCACAAAATTACACATCTCTCAACTAGTCTCAAATAACGTTGTGTGTGCTTTGGCTACCAAAAGTCAGGAACCACATTTCCTCTAGACGACAAATGCAACAAAACAAGCGAGTGAAATATTTAATATTTTGAAGCTAGAAAATAATTATTTAGACCTAGCACTGGAGTAAAGAACTTTTGGAAAACCATGACAACTACAAACTGCAAAGGAAATATTTCACAAACAGAAAATCAAATTAAAAAATTAAATTCACATAACCACCACGGCGTGCCCTTTAACCAAACATTCGTAGCGATTACTGCTTCCATATGAATTCTCATCGCGGCGATCAAACAGTCTACAGTAATTGCCTAGTTGGGTACTTAATATTCTAATCACTGTGCTGCATTAGCGTTGATCGCACCTTAATCTGAGAAAACTAATGGAAGTACCCACGTTCTCACCATTTATCTTAAAAATAATATCGATGCAATAAAATTTAGCGTAAAATGTCTACAGCATTAACAGCAAGCATGTTATAGAGGCTACAGAACTTGTTATAAAGCTGCCTGTGAATTATGCCTATTTATGTTTGGAAGCCGCTGATATCATACAATGTGGATGGCCATAAATACGTGATGTCTGCTCTTGCTCCAACAGCATGGACGAGTCTGTTTGGGGAACGAGGAAGTGAAGAGCAGAAACTGGGAGAGTGCGTGAGCATTTTAAAATCCTTGCAATAACCATTCCCTCCTTCGTATCCACTCTCATTCACGGACATTTTGGTGGAAAAGCAAAACATTAAGGAGCAAAGCCAGGTTGAATTTGACATGTCCAGGCCCTGCATTGCTTCACTGGCCTAACACGCATGTGGATCAAGCACAAATACAAAACTCAAAGCCAATTAGCCGCATGTGAATGCCAGGGAATCAGACGCCCATGCAGGCCTGCCAATAATGCTCAATGCTGGAAAGCTAACTAATCGGCAGTGTACAAGACTGCTAATAAGTTTAGAAATATAAAAAAATGCCATTCAAGTTCAGCCAAGAGACATGCAAATGGATATTTGCATTTGCTATCCTTTTAATTAAAATGCAGTGGGTAACCAATCAAACACCACCCCGAACATATAACACAATCCATATACGAACTTGCATGACCCAGGCATATCCGAACAAGAGGCAACCACGAAACTACACGACCCAAAAAATCTAAAACATGAAACCTTGAACATGTTCATTTAGCCATTGCTGTACGTCTTAGTACCGATGTATCGATTCACATATTCACTGATCCACCACTTATCACTGCCATGACCCCCCCCCCCCTCTTTGAAGTCAGTCAACCTTGGCGCAAAACAAGTTCAAAACAGTTGAGCTGCACACATCGCAACACAATGTTCTGAAGCGGGCCCAAAATACACATGCTGTGCACAACACACATCGCTTGTGAATGCTGTTACTGGGTCAGCACAGAAACTCCCATTTTCCTGCAGTCCCATAATCCTTGCATTAAAGGCCTTGCTGGGCCTCTTGCTAATGCAGAAGTCTCCCTTTTCCACGAGACACGGCAGCAGAGTGAAAAACCTGTACTGGAGCACCCTCAGCCGAGCTGGGGTGAGAAGACGTCACTTTCAAAAGAGCCTGGCATACAGTAGCAGCAGTCTTCCTTAAATACCCCGTAATTATTACACTCGGCCACTCTGGGTCAAACTGCCACAATGACGCTTCCCATTCATGCGTCTAAACATCCTCACACTTACGCATAAACAATGGCAATTTAAACGTCCACATGACCACGGCCTTCTTTCATATATATATTTTTTACACGTGCGGCTGTTTAAGAGGTCTTGAAAGTTAGATTACATCGCAATGCAATAAAACAACTACATTTGAGGAACACTTCGCTAAAGGAAGTGACTAAAATCCTCAGCTAAGGCAGTGTATAGACACACTCCCTGAATTGTGTTTCTTTCTGCTGGGAAATGCAGACGTGTCTGGCTGCACAATGGCTGCACCATCTTCTCGCACTGCAGACTCTCCCAACACGCGCAGTGGAACGGTGCAACTGAACAATAGAACGCGTCCTTGTCATTTCGCTTTGTACATTAAACATCAAGTGACTGACTTATTGCGATGCCCATAACGGGGGCGAAATTATTAATCGTGAAATATTACATGCACAGGGAAACTGGAGGGCTCTCACGTCGGTACTGGATGGTGTTTAAGTAAATTCGTACGGATTAAATGCCAGTCTTAAACTGAGACTGTCGCGATAGATTTTGCTATTTTATTGTAAAACACTGACATGCTAAGAAGGCCCGCTGAGACGCCTAATTATTGCATCTGGTGGTGCAATAATTTTATATTTAGTTGATTGTTGCAGATGAAGTGCTGCAGCGATATCAATGTGGAGTGGGCCAAGTGAGGATTCTCCACACGCACTCCTCACTCGGGGGCATAGACAACTTCATTCACACGCAGGTGAGTGCCCATCAAGACTCCCTATTGTCAGAGTTGGGTCTGAATGCGAGGCAAGAGGGCAAGGAGATCGTGACACACCATCTCGGTCTCAAAACTCCATCCTCCCACTTAAAACACCATCGATCCTCTCACTCAAACATTACCCAAACAATCCCCTCTCAACACCGCCACCACCACCACAATCATATCCTTAAACACAATCCTCTCAATCGCCACCATCCCACCCTTCCACTCGCACCATTCCATCCTCTCTCTCGCGTGAACACCACTAGCCCACCCTCCCCCCCATACTCAAACACCATCCCATCCTCACACTCAAAACATCATTCCGTCTCCTCACGCAAACACCCATCCCATCCTCACGCTCAAAACATAATCCCACCACCTCGCGCAAACACATATCCCCATCCTGAAACACTCCCCAACATCTCTGGAACACCACCCACCACCCCATCCCCTCTCAGCCCATGTCCCAGTGATTGTGGAATGGACGGGAGCTTAGGCGCCCTCGCGTCAAACAAAAAAAAGGCAACAAAATCACACGGCCGCCGTCAGCGCAGGAGGCGCGTGCCGTTATATTTAAACATCGCGACTCCATGCGCGTACTACAATGGTAACAATCATGATCATTTCTGAGGAAACGACAACAAAGGAAAACAATGCCAACATTAGCCTGGCCGGCCTGCGCGCGCCTCCGCGGTGAGCCTGGCCCTGGGCCTCGCTCGCCTCGCCTCGCCCAACTCCCTTCGCCCAGCTCCCTCGCGTCTCCTCGCCTATTCCCCTCCCGTCACCTGAACCCCTCAAACCCCCTCGCTGTCTCCACACTCCGCCTCGCCACTCACAGCGTCTTGGGCTGCCCGTCGTCCTCCATGGCCCCACGCCTCCTCCCGTGTCTCTCCGCCGCCGCGTCCCGGGCTCAGGCGAGGGCAGGATGAACGCGAGACGCCAGGCCGAGGGGCGGGGCTGCGCGGGGAGGTGGAGGGAGTAGAGGGGGCGGGGGGAGGGGCCGGGGATAAGGGGCGGGGTTGTGGATGTAGGGGCGAGGGGCGGGGCTGGCGCTGCGGGCGAAGACAATGGAGCGCGAGCGCTCGGGTAAAAAAGATGGCGGAGCGGTGGGGTGTGGAGCCCCTCCCCTCGCTTTCGGTTATCCCCCCTCCCTACCTCCTCCTTCTCCTCCCCCATGACTCTTGCAAAACCACGCCCACTACAAAGCCCCGCCCTCTACGCCACGTGATCCCCGACCTGCCAACACGTGGCTAGCTCCGCCCCCCCCCGCCCTGTTTCACGCGTTTCCTCTGACGTCATCGCACCGCACACCACCCCCCGACTCTGCCCCTCCCCTCGCCTCCACGACCGTCACTTGACGCATGCGCAGCGCGCGGCTGCACTGCCCGGATGACGTCGGTGGCAGCGCGGGGGAAAGGGGGCGGGGCTCTCTCAGTGCCCCCTCCTCTCGCACACCACGTGCCATGTCCGTGTTTGTTTATGGGTCAGGCCACGTGGTGGTTTTTCGGCCAAATTTTCGTCATTCACTCCGCACCGTCCGACGCGATTGTCACTGTCTACAAATATAGATTATCTATTCGCGCCAACGTATTGATCAAATTCTGACCCATAAAGCGCCTCACCGGTTGCTTGAGACCTTTTAATGGCTGAATTTAACGACGTTTAATTAAAAAAGCGCTTTGAGCTGATTCAGGGAGGGGAGTCTCGGGCATGGGACGCCCTGGTTGTGAAACGGCGTTGGCAGCGGTGCACGAAGAACAAAAACTCAACAACGTGCGTCAACAACAATTCCCTGAAAAGGAAACGGACGACGTTTCAGACTAAGGCCTTCCTCGCACATAAGCACTGCAAAACCACCACATTGCAGACTGCTCCTCGCTTTTCTCGCACGGCTCCACTGGAATTCACTCCAGTGGAGCCGCGTGCTACAGGGTATATTAAACGCATGTGGGCGGGGGGGGGTGTTCAATCAAACTATTCTGCACGAGCGCTATCCAGTTATTATCTTTTCCCTCAAGGGTTTTGCATTCCGACAGGTACTGCTTTGTAGTTAATGCAAATCAATACCACATAACATCGTCACAATAGTATTATTTGCACCCATAACATTGAGCAACGTCTCAGAAGTGTATTGTTTAGCCGAGGGAACCCGCTTCTGGCAGCTTGTCCTTTAGCGAGACAAGCTGCCAGAAGAAGCTTTATCCATTTCGAGTCACTTGCCAGCCATAACACTTGAGGACGCATATTTTAAACGCGTCGACCACGTACCGATTTTCAACCGAATCGTTCCGCTTTATAAATCAACGTTTGATGCATATTTTTACTTTGAAAATCGTTATGCAGTAAAAAATATATATATACAAACTCGACAGCCTACCAATGAAATCAGTAGGGTTAACAATTGTGCTCGAGTAGCTGAGAAGTAGTTTTCGACAAGGGCACCCACACCTTCATCGCCATCATTTTAAATGTCATAATGTGGGCTTCAAACGTCATTACGCCCCGAAGCGTATGCTAAATGGTTTAACATCTATACTGCATGTCTAAATGAGCTCAAGCCTTCCGTGAATCACGTGACTTCTATGTGACCACCCCCCACTCTCAATCCCTCCCCTCTCCCCGCCCCCTGTGAAAACAAATGCTGCTCCGTACAAAATCCAAGGGCCTTACTTAGCCTCTTCCTCATCTTTCCCGACTATTTGGTTAAATTTTTCCATTGCTTTACCACCCCTTTCCTCTTATTTACCATTCATTCCCTTGTCTCTTTCTTTTCCCGTTCCTTTTTCTTTTTCCAAACATTACATCCTTGACCCTACTCCCCTTCCTGTTGCGTGCCACGGGTTAAATGTTGTTCGTACACATACATGCAATACAATTAATACAAAATACACTGTCTTCATTAGCAATGTAAAAACATCAATTTCTGGTTACTGGTTTGCTACACATATAGAAATATCTAGCAGTAAACAATATATTTTATGTGCCGGTTCGATTCCATCTCCCCGGGCAGCAGTTTAGAAAATGGGAAAAGATTCTTAAATCCCCCAAAACTCTGTTCACTCAGCAGAATAAATGAGTAAAGTGTGGCGACGCACACCTCTTCTAAGACACGTGGTCAGCGTGGAAGAATAGACTAAATACCCATTGGAGCTTCCTCGTGAGTGGTGTATTATTGCGTAACTGACACAAACCAGGTGTTTTAATTTCCCAGGACGACTTACAGATTTATCAGGGCAGCTGCCCACACGAGGGTTGTAACTGTGATATTTGGGGCCCTGTGGGGAAGTATTCACTGAATCTCCTGAACAGAAGTAATCCGAGTGAATAATGACCAAATGCAGTAATTGAATGAGAGGGAGCTACCATCAGTGGGATATGAGCGTCATCTGGTCGTGGTCCAGGCTCTCCGATGTTATCATTCAGGGTGGACCAGACTGACACACGGAGACACAAGAAATTATCTGCAGGATTGGACAATAATTCCACGCTGAAGTCATCCCAGGTTGACCGATGCTCTCTGCTCAGCATCCCAAAAAGATGGGGCTGGCTATTGTATATTATTACTTAAATAGTCTGGTGGCCGGGTATTACCTGGGGGCAACTGTACAGGCTGTTGCTGTTTTGTGAATTTTTGCCTAACATCCTCGCCAGGGCTACATCATTGTGCTTATTACTGGGTTAACATATATCACCCTAGTGGCATGCACAGCAAGAAGGGAAGCCAACCAACCAACTGTGCGTGACATGTCAACCTCTGTGTATGCGGTACCACCCCAACCAGGAGACAGCCTATGAAACCATCTAAAAAAACCCAAATTAAAACATCAGAGTAAAACCATGACCTCGGCTTCATCGGGGGACGAAAACAGTTATTGTTAGAACTGTGTGCATTGTCTATCTCAGATTCGCTCACTGCAAACATCTCCCACACCGTGTCTCTCTGCATCCCTTCTGCTCTATGTATGCTTTGCCGATTGCACACACCTCTACACGCCGTTGTGCATGCCTTCGGGTCTTTTGCTCCAAGCCTCCCGACTTGACACAGCCCACACCGCGCTCTCGCTCAGCACTCATTACTGGCGCATCGTAGAGGCCTCCTCATTAGCTGCGAGTATGTTGCGACCTGAGAGCCGGGGCAGAGGTTTATTTTTTTACACGCTTTCATTTAACTCACTCTGTCTGTCGTTGTATCCTCAAATCTTGTAACTCAATGTTAACCCACTTCTCAATGTGGTATCGACTGCAAACTTGGTATACTTATGTCATACTGATGACAATACTATATTCTATCATAAAAAAATATATTTTTAAACATTCCTTTTATATGTTATGTTTCGGCTTGGGTCTAATTGTCCACGCTCAACTGACGTTGGCTGTGATTGCCCACGGTTCCCTTACGTTGTGGCGAGCTTCGGGGCCCCTTCCTGGAGTCGTGGAGTTCTTTCATTACAAGTACAATTCATAAAAGCGTGTTTTTGAAAAAGTTTTTTTTAATATTACTTATTTCATAGCAGTGACTGCTCCCTCACGTTTCGTGATATTTTAAATGTGGCACTGTTGTGCCTTCAAGCTAGGCCTCAGGTTCATGTTCGTGGTGGTGAATTCACCCATTTGAAAACGATGGAACGTTGCAGCGTCATGCACTGTCAGTTATTCAGAAAACATATTTTTGCTAAATAAAATAGTGTTTATTCCACATCCTCCCTCACATCATACAGTGCAACATCCTGACATTCTGGACGGCATTACCAGTTGCATCGACGGTATCAGGCACACGGGACTTATCAGAGCAGGCGGGGGGCAGAAATTTATTTGGGGGAGGGGGTGGGTGGCCAGGTCATTGCAATTCTGGGCTCAGCTATTTAAGATTGGTCTAAGATTTAGGAATGGACCTCATGTACGTGCTGTAGTCTTCTTCCCTTTCTCTGAGTTTATAGCTCATGCTCCAGTGCTGACATTTGGCCTAATGAATACAGCCAATGAGGATGAGAGGGGGGTTCGTGATTCTTCCACGTACTCAATATGGGGTTGTTGCTGCTATATTGAACGTCCTTAACAAAATGTTCTGTTCTCGAGTCAGTCCCGCATCTCTTAGGCCCCCATAGGGTAGTTTCCACACTTCTTTTTACAGATGAGTAGTGAGTCCAACTGAGTCGAAGACATAATTCTTCAGAGCCAACACATTAATTCATAACACGTATATACAAAGGGGTAACTGCCCCTTTACCAGATACAGCCTAGGGTGGTGACCACCCAGCTAACTACACTATACATAGGAGTTACAGTTATGAAGGGTCGGACCCTCACTGGGATTCTCGGCCACGTGTTGGTGCCTCTTCAGACGTAGGACGTAGAACGTGGAGCTTCCAGCTTGCAGAACGAAGCGACCCCGGTCCCTCTCAGGGACCCACCTTACATCCTCCCGGGTCGGGGCCGGCTCCGCCCTCGGCCCCGCCCACCTTCGCGAGCGTTCTAGATCCATCTCGAGAGCTCTCCCCAGACACGTGATCACCCCCTAGCCCCTCCACCTGGGGCCCTCTCTGTGGACACTCCGGATTACGTGCCTACGGGGTCAATCAGAGTGCCATGGCCCGGGGCAACCCTGCCCCTGGGCCGACACTCTCCCACTCCCCCTTGTGGGAGCTCACACTACACGCTACGCGTGGTGCCCGCGCTATCTCAGCGCTCACCAAGCCCCGCTAGGGCTGGTACTACACCCACCTACGAGGTGTACGCGATGACGGTGCATCACACGCCGTGCTATGCTAGAGCCGGCCTCACACAGCAACGCACGGTGCTGTCCGCGTCGTAAGTACATCGCATGCCACAGCCCTCCGGGGCCGGCACCATACAGTGACATCCCTGATGTCACTACAGATGTATTGTTAATCTTATTGAATACCCCCATTATATGCTCATACAACTCAGCAATAAATTTTGATTTAAAGCTT